CCCCCCGCGCCCTTCTCTTCCTCCGCTCTTCCTCCGCTCTCCACGTAATCAAGGACTGCTCTTCGGACCCGTCGCTCACCTCTCTTGCTCCCCGCCTCCATCACCCTTCCTAGTGAACCCAGTGCCTTGCTAGATCACATGGCCACCCCCAGTAGATCGTGAGAAACGCTAAAGCCCCCTCCCGTTTGCCCCCCCCTCCCCACTTTTCGAGCTGTGGCACCACCAGTCTCTCCTAGCACTTCTTTTGAGGATCTGGCAACGGTCGTTAAGAGTCGTTTTTCTACCGGGAAGGAGGGAGGTACGGTGGGGGGGGAGGACATCCCTTCAGTTATGCTTGGGAGTCCCGCCTCTGAGCTTTCCCGCAGTCAGGGAAGGTCTAGTCCAGCTCTGAGATCTGCACTGCAGAACCCCACCTGCACATCGCAAACCCACTTGGCTTCCTCGGACAAACATTTGCCTGGGGTGGAATAAGGTCTCCTGGCTTGGGCAGGGGGTTGGACTAGAGGACCTCTGAGGTCCCTTCCAGACTTAGGGTTCTACGATCCTAAGATTGAGTCCGCAGGCTGCGGGACAACGGTCTCTCCCTAGTTTGCAATTCACCTGGCCCTTTGAGTGACGGACATAGGAAACTGTCTCTCTTGTTTCTAAACCTGCTGGTTGGGGGATTCTGGGAGTTGTAGTCCACGCGCATTTTTCACCTTGCCGAGTTTGAAAAACACTGCCTTGGTCCAACGGGGACCACAAGTTGAGTAGGGCTGTGATCAAGGATCCCTCCATTTGGTCGCCCCGTTAGGATCCTAGTCCCTTGCAGGCGGCTTGTTTGAATGCCAAGCTAAGGTTCTCTCCAGAATCGCGGCTTGTTCTTCCATGCCAGCGCCTCCCTAAAAATCCTCGGCGTCTCCCTTCTGTCTTCCCCCTAAAAGCTTTGCTGATCTTGTCCATCGCCAAACCAAACCATTTCAGGAGCCGGTCACTTCCCGTCCACCAAGTAGCACACCTCTGCTGACTTTGGTGACTTAAAAGTCTTCTTCGTGAAGTGTGCCCGTGAAAGGCGGATTTAAAAACCTCCTCCCCGTTCTGCGACTAACGCGCGAGCAGGATAGGTCCAGAGTGCCAATGCCTTTTTTTGCCCACCGATGCCGTAAGTAGCCTCTCTTGTTAGCCATCTTCCTCTCTAACCGAAAACCTCCGTCTTTGGATTACCGATGCGACCAAACACCGTTGAAGGAAACCTAGTGTGTGTTAGCAGCCCTGCTTAGCTTACGTCTGTGCAAATGAACATACAGGGAGGGGTGTGTAAGTGTTTGCGTGTCTCTCTGTGTGTAAGTACAGTACCAGAAGTCTGTTCTCTTGTTTGTTTTGTTTTTTAAAGCAAAAGGCAGGGGAAGATATTATATAACTGAATCTGATCTTAATCTTTGCATTTATCAGCTACAGAGCATTAGATTTTAATCCAGAGTTGTTGTTCTTTTCTCCCCCAGGCTAGGGAATTCTGGGAGTTGAATTCCACCCCCCCAAAAAAACCACTCGTCTTAATCCATTTTAGTAACACGTCAGCCTTTTACTTATAGCTTCCTCTCTTAGTTGAACCGAATGTAGTTTCCACAGACTTTGGGGGAGGGCAAAAGGGGGAAATGGGGCAACTCAGGGGGTCCCGAGGGCTACGCCTGGCTTGCGGGTTGTGAAGATGCAAACTCAGAAAGCAGGAATGAGGTGCCGATAGTGGAATGATTCTCTAGGACAGGGGTGCCCAAAACGGGCAACTTTTAAGACTTGTGGACTTCAACTCCCAGAATTCTCCAGCCCAGAGAATTCTGGGAGTTGAAGTCCCCACGTCTTAAAGTTGCCAAGTCTGAGGGCCTCTGCTCTAGGGAGTAACCTTGACGATTCTCCAGTCGTCCTTGCGTTGAGGTTCTTGCATCCTCTGCTTCGAAGCTGACCCAGAAGTCTAGAATTATCTCCTGGCTTGGGAGGCAGGGCCCTCCCCTCCCTCTGGCCTTGAGCAAATTGCTCACCTGGCCGTCCCTCTTCCAAATTTCTTTTCTTTATCAACTTGGTCAACCCATAAGAGAGAGAGAGAGAGATGGAAAGAACCATCCAGTCATTGACTAGGGATGGAGGACAAGGTTGACCCTCTATACCTTCAACCTTTCTGCTGTTGTGCAGAAATCCATTAAGGTTGGGCTTGGTAAGGACAGGTATCCAGAGACAAGGACACTGGACAACCGATTCTCCAAAGCATCTGAGGGTAGGACAAGAAACAATGGATGGAAATAAATCAAGGAGAGAAGCAACCTAGAACCAAGGAGGAATTTCCTGACAATTCCCACAATTAATCGGTGGAACAGAAGTTATGGGGGCTCCATCACTGGAGCCTTTTAAGAAGAGACTGGACAGTCTGGAATGGCATAGGATACAGGGGTGTCCAACCTTGGCAAGTTTGTGGAATTATGGCTAGCTGGGAAATTCTGGGAGTTGAAGTCCACAGGTCTTAAAGTTATGAAGGTTGGACACCCTGGAACAGGGTCTCTGAGCAGGTTAGACTACAGGACCTCCGAGGTCCTTTCTGGTCCTACAATTCTGTTTTCCGCCCTATGCCCTATGAGTGCCCCTTTCGTGGGCAGGGCAGTAAACGCATGGTTGCAGGAACCGGGTATGTCTGGCCCAACAAAGAGAGGGTGACATGGTAGCAGTCTTCCAGTATTTGAGGGGCTTCCCCAGAGAAGAGGGGGGGTCAAACCTATTCTCCAAAGCCCCTGAAGGCAGGAGAAGAAGCAACGGATGGAAACTAATCAAGAAGAGACCCAACCTAGAACTAAGGAGGAATTTCCTGACAGAACAATTAACCAGTGGAACTGCTTGCCACCAGAAGTTGTAGGTGTTTCATCACTGGAGGCTTTTAAGAAGAGATTGGATAGCCCCTTGTCTGGAAGTGTATAGAGTCTCCTGCCTGAGCAGGAGGTTGGACTAGATGATCTCCAAGGTCCCTTGTGGTATAGCTGTTAAAAGACCACAACATTCCATTTGGAAAAATGGGGTGAACATCAGAAGGGGAGATGTCCCTCTATTTTTGGACTGATTTTAAAAAGAAAAAAAAAAGGCATTCAGGCCATAAGAAGGAACCCCAAACTTGGTGAAATGTTGGGACCTTTATGTACAGATAAATAACACTATTTTTTAAAAAAAGCCCACGAATGGCTACATCGAATCTTCCAATCCATTTCATCCCACATCCTTCCCACGGTCATTGTTGCGTTGTGGGGAATCTGACCCTTTTGTGCCCCCAGGTTAGACCCACGTTTCATTCTCATCCAAGTCCAAACCAGCCTTCCATAAACTGGCTCCCCCCACCCGCCCCCACCCCCTGGGCAAATGAATTGGGATCACACTTCCCAACATCGCTGAAAATTAAAAAAAAATTAAATTAAATTAAAATTACCAGACCCATCCTGGATGATGCCAGATTATAGAAAAAGCTGCCTGGAACATTTCAGTTCACTTCTCCCCCCTCTTGGCACTGACTAGCAATAAATCGAACCTTTGGTTGACATCAGTGTGACATCGGGCACTATCTTGGTTTGTGCCCCCCCCCCCCCCCCCAGCCCTTGAATTATCCACCAGGGCTGGCCTAATCCTCAGAAGGCTCAGACCAGCCCCGAGAGCAACACCTTCCGGTGGCTTTCCACAACTTTTCTTTCCGTAGAGATCGCCCGCAGGATGGTATTCTTCCTGCCTAGATGTAATTTTTGCTTTTTTTCTTTTTTTCTGCAATTTTTCAAAGAGAAATAACTTTGTAAACCGTCACGTGAGACAGCCCGCCGTGCCCTCTGCTAAGCTCCCCGTGGAATCTTGCATGGTTTCTGTCTTCCCTGACCCTCCCTGCTCATCCAGGTTCTCTGGAAGGAAAGAAAATAAAAATGAGCATGACAAAAAAAAATAAAATATCTTATTGCTTATCTGTTATTAACAAATTAATAAAAGGTGTTTCTATGTGCACTGTGTCCGGGATTCTTCCTTTCCGTTCTCATGAGTGGCTTAGGACAGGGGTCTCAGCCTTGGAAACTTTTAAGCATGGAGGACTTCAACTCCCAGAATTCCCCAGCCAGTTTGTTGGGGGTTGAAGTCCACAAGTCTTAAAGTTGAATTCTGGGTGTTGAAGTTCGTTAGGTTTAAAGTTGCCAAGGTTAGGTCGTAAAACCGGTTCAGGAATTTTGCAGGTAAAAATGCCCAGCTTGGAACAACCACATAAGTGTATAAAGAAACTCTGTAAGATGTTGGATATGTCTGGTGTAATGAAAAGGACTAGGGGTGACGTGATGGCAGTCTTCCAGTATCTTCAGATATCCAATGTCGGGGTGTGTCTGTTAAATTAGTGGAACAACTTGGCTCCAGAAACTGTGGGAGTTTCATCACTGGAGGTTTTCAAGAGGAGACTGGACAGCCCTTGGTCTAAAATGGTGTAGGGTCTCCCACTTGGGCCGGGGGTTGGACTAGATGACCTGCAAGGTCCCTTCCAACTCTGTATTGAGGAGTTCAGCTCTGAGAAATCCCCAGCCAAGGGGGGTAGGGGGGGCACTTGCTAAGAATTCTGGGAGTTGTGGAAGTCTGCATATCAACAGGTTCCAGAGAGGTTAACTGAAGAGCAGATCAAAAGCTCTGCTGGGTAAACATTACAAGTTAAAAGAAAGAGTCAAAATGGCCTACAAACGCTTCCTCCCACTTCAGACTTCAACTCCCAGAATGCTGAGCGAGCCGGGCTTTTTTTTTCATTCTGAATACGGATTGGTTCTTTCCACCGCAGAAAGGCGGGCTCAGGAGAGCTCGGTTTTGATTGGGCGAGGTGGCTGCCGCTCCGTGAGCTACCCGGAAGGGAGCCGGTGGGAATCAGCTTATAAGTGACTCCTGGGACGGAGAGGGGCTCAGCCTCCTGGGGGGAGGAAGGGGGGCGGGGGTCTCCTGAAGCCCCTCCTTCTGCCTGCAAATCTAACCCTAACCCCCCCTTTTAAAGGCCCCTTGGAGCTGCATGGCAGGCAGAAATTCAGCCGATGCTGTCTAAGCAGGGGCTTTTTTGCAGGTTTTTATTTATTCATTAAATGGTTATTAATGTTTGATAAATTGCATTCATTAAATCTTTTGCATGGTTGCTTCAAATAGAAACAAGCATGGAATCCTAGGGATGAAAGGGAACTTGGAGGTCTTCTAGTCCACCCCCCTGCCAAGGCAGGAGCCAGAATGAATTTTTCCTTGCAAAATGTTTTTTTTGAGGGTGGGGGGGAGCGAGAGAGCCAGAGCTGAGGCAAGATTGTAATGAGTCCCTCTTCTCACCTCACCCCACCCCGTTGTGTTTCCCCAGGTGAGAAGAGGAAGGTCACCTGTCCTGGCCAGGTGAGGCAGCCTCGCCTAGACAGAGAAGAAACCCAGGAAGCTCTGGATGGCCGACCCTTGCTCCGAAAGGCCGAAGGTGTGGGCGATGGAGACCTTTCGGGTAGCCCAGGTACTTTCTCAGGGAAGGTGGGGGGTTTGGTGTCGGCTGAGGGTGTCAGCTGTGGACTGGATGAAGGTGGGATTTATTTATTTATTTATTTACTTATTCATATCCCGTCTGTGTTGTTGTTTTTTACAAATAAGGCAGCAAATGTACCTAATACACCCTGCTCCTCTTTTCCCTCTACCCAAAATAAACCTGTCAGGTGGGCTGGACTGTTTCAAAGTCACCCAGCCGGCTTTCATGCCTTAGAAAGGACTAGAACTCACCATGTCCTGGTGTTTGGCCCAAAGTCAGCCAGCCAGCCGACTTTTATGTCTAAGGCAGGACTAGAACTCACCATCTCCCTGTTTCTAGTCTAGCGAATTGCCAGGGCTCCTGCCTCATGGTAAGACCTCTGCACAGGGAGGTTGTATCCTACGACCCTAGTTTTAGCAACCCACCCACCTAGCCAAGCAGGGAGGGCCTGTGAGGGATCCCATTGGTTAAGAATTAATTCCTGATCTTTTTTCTATTTACAGTCTCCCCCAGCGGCATATTATATTCCAGACTTCATCAGCGAGGAAGAAGAGCATTACCTTTGGCAGCAAGTACGGGCAGATGTTGGGACCTTCCAGTGGTGCAAAGGAGAACCTTCTTAGGGGGATACCCTTCGCGTGATGCTTTGGGAGGGAGCTGCCGAAGCTGCGTTCCTTCTCAAGCCAGCAGCCCAGAAATGAATCTCTTTTCTCTTTCCAATTTCCAGGTTTATAATGCACCCAAGCCCAAGTGGACACAGCTGTCTGGCAGGAGACTGCAAAACTGGGGTAAATTGTGGCAATACAAGAGAATTTGTATAGCTCAGGGGAGATTTGAGGGGTCCTTCGCGCTCTCTGTGCTGGGTCGTTTCCTTGCAGACATTTCATGACCCAACTGGGGAACGACATCAGTGCTAGAAGGAGGGAGGTTTGGGCGGCGGCGGAGGAAATCTGCAGGGTCCTTGGTGCTCTCTTTCTTGCAGGTGTTTCATGACCCAACTAAGTAGCATCATCAGTCTTGGGCTTACAACTGAGAGCAGAATTTCCCATGTTAAGCAAAAGGGCCTGGCCAGCCTTGCTGGCTGCAGAAGAAATGGGCTGACAAGGCAGGTGTCGGGGTGTTCGAGGCCTGGCTACAACTGTCCAAAGGGAAGTAGTAGGGCAGCTCCACCACCACCCCAGCTTAATTTTTACCCGTCCACTCTGGAGTGGGCAGGATCTTAATTAGGGCTTATTTTGGGGGGGGGGTAGGGCTTATATTCGGCACATGTGTAAAAATCAAGCTAGGGCTTAGTTTCAGGATAGGTCGTAGGTAGGTGATACCCAAGTCTGTTTTTATATGATAAATAATCTTTTATTTCGTGCCCAGGATATACAAAAAGGGTTGATACAAGCGCATCCCGTTCAAAACCGGAAGTTTTAATTAGGCCCTGACCGATGAGGGGGATCCAGGTCTCTTTTCCTTCCACTGCCTTTTCCTGTGTTTATCCCTGCTGAGATTTCTCTCTTTTACAAATTGGTTTCTGTGGGAAATCCTCCTTCGGGTGCTCTCAGGTCCTTTAAGGACGTCTGAGGGAATAGTTTATTTCTTTATTTATTACATTTATTGGCTGCCCATCTTACCCACAGGGCAACTCTGGGTTGCTTACAATATGGGAAGATAAAATAATATAAATGTAGTATCACAAAAATAATAAAGATATAGTTAGCTCAGTGTTTTTTCAGCCTCGGTAAGTTTAAGGCGTGTGGACTTCAATTCCCAGAATTCCCCAGCTAGCATTCTGGGAGTTGAAGTCCACACGTCTTTCTTCCCCAACGTTAGATCCTCCAATGTGCTAGGACTACAGCACCCAGAATTCCATTTGGGCCCACGCTCGCTTGGAATTCTGGGCAATTGAGCTCCTTTCTCTTTGGAATGTACCATTTGCTGGGGGGGGGGGGGGGGGGAATTGGTCCGGTCCATTCTATCTCCTGTCAAAATCACTGTCCTGTTGGTGCCAAGAGTGTTCAGCATTGTCTTTGTGTGTCGCCCACACCCTGCAGGAGGGCTGCCCCACCCGAAGGGCATGGTGGCAGAGAAATTGCCCCCCTGGCTGCAGCGTTACGTGGATCGGGTGTCTTCCCTTGGGGTTTTTGGAGGAAAGCCAGCCAATCACGTCTTGGTGAACGAATACCAACCCGGCCAGGGCATCATGGTAACCATTTCTTCTCCCTCTTCTCTTTTTATTTTAGGGTGGGGTGGGGGGTGTCCTTTACTAACTCTCGGTTTGCTTCAATAGTGGTATTCAGCCGGTTTGCACCGGTTCACCCGACCCGGTAGCAAGGATTTGGCATGGGTTGCAGAACGGGTAGTAACTTCTGACTGGCCACGCCCTTGACCCTCCCCGCCCAGTCAGTCCTTATCACCCATGCCCGACTTTGCGGACTACGTTCTTCCCTGAGCAGTCACTCTTTTTTTCTTTTCTTTTTTTTTCCCTCCCGACAATCAGCTGTTCCTACGATCCCCTTGCTTATTTACTGCTTCGCCCAGAAGTCTTCCCTGCGGCCTAGGAAGGCAGAAAATGGAGGGGGGGCAGTGTGGGGTGCAAAAATGCCTCCCCCAGGAGGCTTTCCTGAGGCCCAGAAGGCCCCCAAAATGGAGCATGGGCTCCGTCTTGTGCCTTCCTGGGCCCCAGGCAAGCCTTCTGGGAGCAAAAATGCCCCCCCAGGAAGCTTTGGTCCAGAAGGGCCAAAAAACGGGGGTGGGGTGGGGGGTTTGCTGCAAAAAAAAAAAAAAAAAAGCCATGCCCCGCCCAGTCACATGGCCACCTAGCCATGCCCAAAAAACCGGTCATAAAAAAACGTTGAATCTTACCACTGGTTTGCTTGCAGCCACACGAAGACGGACCGCTGTATTATCCCACCGTTACCACCATCAATCTGGGGTCCCATACTCTCCTGGACTTCTATCATCCCGTCACCGGAGAGGCATCTCCCCAAAGCCAAGAGGTGAGGTCAAAACACAAAGCTAAAACCATGCTGCAACTTTACAGTTAATCCTCCACGTACGACCCCAAGGGAGTCCCAAATTTCCACCGCTAAGCGAGAGTTGAGTTTTGCTCCATTTTACGATTTTTCATGCCATGCCATGTCAAGTGAATCCTTGCAGTTGTTCAGTTCGTCACATGGTTGAATCCGGCTTCCCTGTTGATTTGGCTTGTCAGAAGGTGGCAAAAGAGTTTCGCGTGGCCCTGGGACTCTGTGACCGCCATAAATGTGATTTCAGTTGCCCAGCGCCTGAATTTTGATTTTGGGACCGTGAGGATGTTGTAATGGTCATAAGTGTGAAAACTGGTCATAAGTCACTTTTTTTCAGTGCTGAAGAGAAAAGAAGAGCAAAGTAGAATAGAGAACAGAATATAGTAAAACAAAATATAGAATAGAATTATCATAGAATATTATAGATTACAAAATAATAGAGAAGAGGATAATAATAATAGAATAAATAGAATAGAATATAGAGAACATAGAATAGAATAAAATAATATAGAAGATAATATAATAATATAGATTAGAAAATGGAAGAGAAGAGAATAATACAATAATATAGAATAGAATATAGAGAACATAGAATAGATTACAATAATAGAATAATAGAGAAGAGAATAATAATAGAATAATATATAGAGGAGTAGAATAGAATAATAATAGAATAATATAGAGAAGAGAATAATAATAGAATAACATAGAGAAGAGAATAATAATAATAGAATAATAGAGAATAGAATAATAGTAGAATAATAGAGAATAGAATAATAATAGAATAATATAGAGTAGAATATAGAGAATAAGAAATAGAATAGAAATTCTTCATTGTCCAAGTGGACACACAAGGAAAAGTCCCTAAATGAAGGCTTGTAAACTGAGCACTGCCCTCAGCAGCCCCTACTCTAGAGCAGACTTCCTCCCCCACTCGGTTTGGAGACGGGTGGCCTTCCTGGGTGCATGGAACCGGCTGGCGTTCATTGAACGTGGCCTTGTTGAGGCGAGAATCTGGCTCTGGGCATCTAGCCTTGTAAAGGATCTTTCTTCCATCCCCGCTGCCTGAGCTTTTTCCCTCTGCAGAATTCATCCCCGCCGACCCAGGAGGAGCGCCACGCCTTCTCCCTCCTCCTGAAGCCCCGCAGCCTCCTGGTCTTGCAGGACGATCTGTACGTGCGCTACCTTCATGGCATCCGCCCTGTCACAACGGACACCGTGACGCAGAAAGTGGCCAACGCCGGCCTGTGTGGCTGCGAGTTTGGGGACACGTTGCCACGTCAGACACGGGTGTCCCTCACCATCCGCCACGTCCCCAAAGTGCTGAAAACATCCATTATCCTCGGGCGGAGGAAGTGACCGGCATTTTGCATGGCAGGGGTGGCGCCCCCCCCCTCCCCCCAGGAGGAGGTGAGAAAGGAAGAGCTGCGAGGTCCCCTCCTCACAATCACCAGCGTTGGGTCTGTGTGTGTAACTGTGCAACTTCAAACGGACGTCGGCATGCTTGGCCCCCCAAAAAATTGCTATTTTTTTTTTCCCTCCCCGGCATGCTAAAACTATGCAAATAAACTCCCAAGAATTGTAAACAAGTTTATTCGGCACTTCCTAATTAGGTCAAGGATGAAACGGTTTCAAACAAGCCAGCTACTTTGCCCTCCGGCCAACGTTCAAACACTTTCAAAGATTAAGGTTCCCCAGATGTTCTGAGAAAATTATGTTTATTATGTCAGTTGCTTATAAAAAAACAGTTTTTAAGAAAAGGAAGCGAGAGGGATTTTCTCAAACTGCGCGGAGGCCAATTGGGACTCGTCTTTTCCTGCCACGTGATGGACAAAGTTTATTTTATTGTATTTATTAAATTTCTACACTGTCCCCCTCACCTGAGTTGTGTGATGCTCCCGTTAGCCATCCGTCCATGTGACTAGCGGAGAAGGATAATGGGATCTGTAGTTCCAGTAACACAGAGAGGGGATCATTCTTTCCACCAAGCTTTTTAGGCACTTTGATTTTTGGGGGTTTGCCATCTTTTGGGTAGAATAATAATAGGCGATAAATTGAAGAAAGAAAAAATACAGTCACACATTCGGCCTGTTTTGATGCTCTGCAAAATACAAATATTGCTATTTGCACCTGCCTGACATGGCTGCCCACCTGAAAGTCCCATTTCTCCCCTCCCGGATTTGAGATTTTGCAAAAACAAAGGCAAACATTTTACTCCCTGGTCGGCTTCCTTGTTTGGTTTAGCGTAATTGTGATGATTTTGGTCTGCTTTTTTGGACTCTGGAGCCCGGCGGTGGTGGCTGTTTGGGGCCAAAGGTTGGATCCCTGTGAGGCAGACTGAGATACCGCCGAGTTCAATCTTGATAAAGCCTTTCTGACGTTTACACCCGTCTAGGTTATCAGGTTTCTGAATTGTACTTTCTGAAACTCTGGTTGTGACTTTCTTTTCAGCGCAAAGAAATAAAGCCTATTTCGGGAAGTGTTGAGTTTGCAGTTAAATAGGCTCCAGGTTACCATTTTTTTCAACCTGAGCCTCTTTAAGAGGAGTGGACTCCAACTCCCAGAATCCCTCAACCAGCAGGTTTAGAAACAAGAGGACCGGTTTCCTATGCCTGTCACTCAAAGGGCCGGGTCAATTGCAAACCGTTGTCCCCCCAGGGTTGGGAGGGACCTCAGAGGTCTTCTACTCTAACCCCCTGCCCAAACCAGGAGATCTTATTCCAGCCCAGACAAATGCTTGTCCAAGGAAGCCAAGTGGATTTGCAATGTGGGAACATGGGGTTTTGCAGTGAAGAATTGGGCTGGGGAATTCTGGGAGTTGAAGTCCACGCGTCTTAAAAATTGCCAAGCTTGGACACACCTCTGTGTTAAAGGGTCTGGAGGCCAAAGCATGTGACGAACGACTGAAGGGATTAAGTCTTTTCTAACAAAGAGAAGGATCAGGGGGTGACCTAATCATTGTCTTCCGATAATTGAGAGGTTATAAGAGAGAAGAGGGGGGGGTCAACCTATTTATTATGGATTTATTTTCCAAAGCACCCGACGGCTGGACAAGAAAGAGTGGGCAGAAACTCATTAAAAAGAGAGCCAACCTAAAAATAAGGAGAAATTTACTGAGAGTGAGACCAGTGGAACAACCTGCCGCTGGAAGTGTTGGGTGCTTCATCACTGGAGGCTTTTAAGAAGAGTTTGGACAGCCATTTGTCTGGAATGATAATAAGATCTGCCTTGAGAAGTGGGGTTAGACTAGAAGACCTCTAAGGTCCTTTCCAACTGTGTAATTTTCCAAGGCAGGAAAAGAAGCAACCGATGGAAATTAAACAAGGGGAGAAGCAACCTGGAATTAAGGGGAGATGCCTGACAATTGATAGTGGAGTGGCTTAACTCCAGAAGTTGTGGAGGACAGCGTAGAGTAAGAGTCTGCTAGCTGACCTCTTCCAGAAGTAGCAACCTATGTCCTGTGCTCTTTAAGTTCAATGAGCGTCCCTTCCCTGGGTGGGGCACTCACCTGTCCAGCCCCACCGGGCGGCTAAGATGAGGCCCCTGGCTTGGAAAAACGGCAGGTGGCATCTGTGCCTTTGGCACGGCGCCCTGCCGGAGAAGCAGCTGCCACCCAGAGCTGCAAATGGGTTGGGCCAAGTCCTTTTGCCCCGAGAGAATCGAGTTACCTGCCAACCCTCCCTGCTTGCCTTCCTGGCGCAGGTGAGCTGGAGAACCACCGCGCTCTGCTTGAAGAGCAGAAGAAGCAAACCTGGGCAGGTGGACTTCTCCCCCCCCCTCCCGCCAAGCCTGCGCTGGGCGTTTGCACACCTGTTTTCCGTCACGTTGGCCAAGGAGGAAGAGGATGGCGCTTGCTGTCTCGGCCCTTGTTTGTCACCTGTTTAATGATTGACAGGCAGGGGAAATGCAGCAGCTCAGGGCGAGGATCCCGGCTTCTGGACGACAGGTAGATGCAGGCTTTCTCTTTCGGGCACGGGGGAGGGGAGGGGGAATTGCTGGGCTGCCTGAAGTTGGGGTGCCCTCTGAGCCTTGGATGGGGGCGTCGGGAGGCCAGCAACCTGTGCCAGCCCTTTTCAAACCGCGCAGCTTCTTTTGGCCGTGGGAGTGAGTTTGCAAAAGTTGCAGGATTGAAAATTGAGCACTGTGGAAATTCAACCAGCTTGTCTGGAGGATCCGTGCAGGGCGGGGCTGCAGGTTGAAGTGACAGGTGATTGATGGACACGTTAAGAGGGACTGGGATTTTTTTTCTCCCTCTCTCTGTCACGCATGCACGCACACACACACACACAAGCACGTACTGAAAAGGGGATGGGTGGTTTCTAAAGGTGATAACAGCAATAAAAATAAGTATTTTTCTTTGAAGGCTGGTGGGTCGCAGGCAGTGGTGGTATTCGACCAGTTCTGCCCGGTTCTGGAGAACCGGTAGCGGCGATGAGCAGTGGAGACCGAACCGGCTGCTCTGTGGTTGGCTCACCCGCCCGCCTGGGCTCCCATACTCACTTTTATGGCCAGAATTCAAAGCGCAGCTGCTTAGCGTGGCACAGGACAGCGCTGCGCGGCAGCTGCTGCAGCGACCACCATCCTGCAGGCTTGCAGGAGGCAAGTTAGAACGCTTCTGCGCCTGCGCAAAGTACGTGTTTGGCGCATGCGTGCACGCAAAGGGGGTGCATGCGCGCAAAGCGCGGCCACCGAGCCACGCCCACCGAACTGGTGGCAACTTTATTTGAATACCATCACCGGTCGCAGGGCTCAGGACTTGGAGAGGGCAGAACTGTATGAAAGGTAGGCTTTTAGCAAGGATGGTCGCGTTATTCAGGGCCGTCCGGTTCTTTCAGGGACTTGTGGGGGGGGGGAAATGCCCCAGTGGAAAATGGGCAGGTTGCTCAGGGGTAGATAGGCAAGGTACGCTCTGTGCATGCTCAGAGACTGCTGGGGGATGCAGTAATAGACATTAAAGAAAGGAAGATTCCAGTGGGAAGTTAAGGAGAATTTCCTAATTATGAAAGCAGTTAGATAAATTGGGGTAAGGCCTTCCTTTCTTCTTTTCCATCTTCCTTTTCATTTCCTTCCTTCTTCCCTCCCTCCATTCTCTCTATATTCCTTCCTTTGCTTCTTTCTTTCTTTCTTTCTTTCTTTCTTTCTTTCTTTCTTTCTTTC